CGATCGCTTCTCCGATTTATCCTCCTACTTCCAGTCTCTCTCCGTCTCCCTAACTCCAGCCGAAGCCTCTGAAATCCTTCGATCCTTGAACTGCCCCGACCTCGCTCTGCAATTTTTTCAGCTTTGCCCCTCCATTTGCCCTAAGTTTCGCCACGATGTCTTCACTTACACCCGCTTCCTTCTCATACTCTCCCAATCCTCTTCCCCGAAGCGGTTCGATCACGTTCGGGAGATTCTGTCGCGGATGGATCGAGATCAGATACGCGGTACCATTTCCACTGTTAATATCTTGATTGGGATTTTTGGTAGCAAGGAGGATTTGGAATTATGTTATGGGTTGATTAAGAAATGGGACTTGAGGCTTAATGCTTACACCTATAGGTGTTTGCTTCAAGCTCATGTACGGTCTCATGATTCAGATAAGGCTTTCAATTTGTATATGGAAATGAGGGGTCGAGGGTATAAGCTGGATATCTTTGCCTATAATATGCTATTGGATTCTCTGGCCAAGGATGAACAGGTTTGAATTTGATTCTAAAATGTTAGAAATTATGCTTGGTTCTATTTGAAAAATGGCTGTTCACTGGTTTCTTATGTTCCAAATTCTTTTGTTGTGTTCTATTTAACAGCTTGATCGAGCTTACAAAGTTTTTAAGGATATGAAATTGAAGCATTGTAACCCAGATGAGTATACGTATACTATTATGATTAGAATGACTGGAAAGATGGGTAGAACTGAAGAGTCTTTGGCTCTCTTTCAAGAAATGCTAGCAAAAGGATGTACTCCGAATGCAATTTCATATAATACAATGATCGAGACACTTTGCAAGAGTAGAATGGTTGACAAGGCAATTCTTCTCTTTTCTAATATGGTTAAGAACAATTGTAGGCCAAATGAGTTCACGTATAGTCTCATTTTGAATGTTTTGGTTGCAGAAGGACAGCTTGGTAAATTGGACGAAGTTCTGGAAGTGTCCAATAAGTTTATGAACAAATCAATATATGGATATCTTGTAAGGACTCTAAGCAAACTAGGCCATGCGAGTGAAGCTCATCGTATTTTTTGCAATATGTGGAAATTTCATGATAGAGGCGATAGAGATGCTTACGTTTCCATGTTGGAGAGTTTATGCAGTGCAGGTAAAACTGTAGAAGCAATGGAACTGCTCGATAAGGTTCACGAGAAGGGAGTTAGTTCTGATACTATGATGCATAACACACTGTTATCTACTTTGGGGAAGTTAAAGCAAGTATCTCATCTTCATGATCTTTACGAGAAGATGAAACAAGATGGGCCGTTGCCTGATGTATTCACATATAATATTCTTATATCAAGCCTAGGACGTGTTGGAAAAGTTAAGGAGGCTGTTGAAGTTTTTGAAGAACTTGAGAATAGTAGTTGTAAACCAGATATTATATCTTACAATTCTTTGATCAATTGCCTTGGGAAAAATGGGGATGTTGATGAAGCTCACATGAGGTTTCTAGAGATGCAAGAGAAGGGATTGAATCCTGACGTTGTAACGTACAGCACGCTCATTGAATGTTTCGGGAAAACAGATAAAGTTGAGATGGCTCAGAGTTTGTTTGATAAAATGATGGCTCAAGGATGTTGTCCAAATATTATAACGTACAACATCCTGCTTGACTGTCTTGAGAGAGCTGGGAGAACTGCTGAAACTGTTGATCTGTATGCAAAACTTAAACAGCAGGGATTAACACCCGATTCAATTACATATGCTATACTTGACAGATTACAAAGTGGCTCGACTCGAAAATTTAGAGTCCGAAGGCAAAATCCAATTACTGGCTGGGTTGTTAGTCCTTTAAGGTAATATTGTGCAAGTTTTTAAGGAAAAGAAAAGAAGAAGGATGCTGACAACTCTATCTATTTGTCTGATACGCATCTCTCTTATGTCTAGTTTCTTTTAGTATAAAAGCTTCCAGCGCAGCGCCAATTAAGGGAAAGGTTGTGTCTATCATGACGGTTCATCCAATGATTAGCTCGAGTTAAGTTCAAGCTTTGATTCGTGTTTGCCTAGTTCTTGGGCTAATAAGGGAATGTCCATTGTTGGCCGTGAGTCTCTCTTTGAGAAGACCGACTAGTGCTTCGTCAAGCTTTTGGTGTACCTTCTCCTCTTAGGGGTTTTCTGGCATACTTTTACCAAGTAGTTGTCAGAGACAACGTACAGGAAGTAACATAGTTTCTCAGATATCTAGAAGAAATCCATCATATTTTTTTATTCTTGGGTAAAGAAAAAAATGCCGAAGTTTTTATCTTCAAAATATTCGTTGAGGTTTCTTCAGAGGTTTAAGTGGTCTAGCAAAGAAAATGTAGAAGTTCTTGGGTTGTGCAGCGTGAATATCATTATAGCTTTCAGGAGAATGTAACTGAAGCCTGACTTGAGGAATCCTCCTGGTTTGAACCTGAAATCTTGGAATTGGATCCTTTTGTAATTATGTTTAGGAGGTTTGAACCTGAAATCTTGGAATTGGATCCTTTTGTAATTACGTTTGGGAGGTTTGAACCTCCAACCTCAAGGGAAGGAGTAGACGAGAATCACCGTTGATCTATGTTCATGTTGGCCTTTTCAATTATGTTAAGAAACTGTATTGGAATACATCTTTCTTGAGTCACACAAGTTCTCTTGTAAAGAGAAATTAAAATGGTCTATTTCAGGAGGTTTAATAACTGTCCAGCAGAAGCTTCATCCAATTAAAAGTCAGCTCAATTTTCCACTTGGGCTCGAATAGCCCGATGATTTTCGAAGGTATCTCGAAACATCCTGAGCTCTTACCATCTTGACCAACCTGTATGTAAGCAACGTCACCTGGTTAACTCTGTATGTTTCTCTTTTTCCTGTTTTTGTCAGTTAATCCTCATTGTTTTACATATATGTACACTCCCTATTAGACAAGGCTGTAGTTTTCTTCATTCTAATATTTCTTTCCTCAGAAGATAATTCACAAAGGAAGGCTGTACTCTCAATGTAACTGAAGTGACTGGATTCAAATGTTATGTTAGCTTTATTGAGAAGTATAGTAAAATGAATCTTCCATTTTCATTCAGTTGATAAAACAGCACAAAAATCTGAAATCCCATGTTGGTCAATTAGAGAAGTTCATTGTAGAAGTTTGGGTATGAGCCTAATTTATGGTTCACCCCTTTCCAAGGTGACTGCTATGATAAGCTTCTGAAATCTTTTCAGAGAACAGCGATTATGTTACAGTCTCTGGTTCATGAAATGGTAGATCAGGGATTATTGTGAAGGAGCTGTATAGTTTAGCGTATATAGAGCTTTTCAACAAAAAAGTTGGATGTTCTCTGAAATTCATGTAATAGGTGGGTCTAATAAAGTCTCTAAAGGAATTGCTGAACAAAAACCAGAACCTGTGTGATGAAATGGAGATGGGCAAGTCTCCAAAATGATGGATGCAGAGCTCTCGCTCTCACTCTCAGTGAAGAAGATGTTGAGAAAATTGTGGGTTCCTTCTGTCAAAATGCAAATGAAACATTTAGCGAAGTGTACACAAATGATGAAGGTGAGCCAAATTTGAAGGGTCAAATGACACTCTGTGTGAGTTCAATTTGGGTGTATGGGTGTTTGATGAGAGAAACAATAGTGATGGAGAAAGAAGTGCTTCAACTGTTGAAACTGGAGAGTTCATCCACTCATTTGAATGTGCAAGAACTTCCAACAAAAGTAAATGCTTACCAGAAATAAATAAACTGAGCACAAATTAAACACTTGGTGATATGTTTATAGTTATACTTGGTTTCTGGTCTGAGTTGTGCAAGAGCATGAGATACAAAGAAGGATTTAAATGCCTTGATTGGTCTTTAAATCAAAAGGCCAGTAACTTACTGTACCTAAAATATCTTGATTTGTGCAAGTTTGCTTTATTGCAATAATTGTAATTTATTTCAAATACTTCAATGGGTTGTAAATGTAATACATTTCAAGTTTGCTTTTTCTCTGTCCTTACTTTAATTTAGTCCCCTAGACGGTTCCTCTAGAAATGGGATGGTTTGTCGTGAGTAAATTTAATTTATTTAGATATCTAACACTCTCCTTTATTGCTTAGAAATTTGCACAAGATCCTAGGGTTATTCACTGGTTGGATCGGGTTAAAGGAAATTTTTGGACCAATCCGATTTTTGGGTTGGTTAGACTAGCGAACCGACATAACCGATTTTAATACTCAACCCAACCTAAAATTTTTGGTTGGGTCAAGTTGGGTCATTGGGTTTCATCTTCTTGTGGGTGATGCATGATTTATGTGCTGAGATGAAAGCTTTGGTGGTTCTGAGGCACAGCAGCGACAGGCGACGTCGGTGGCTACATCGGCGTGCTTCTCTAGACGACGACAAATTTTTGCGGTCGACAGTGTGATTCTTTTAACGAGATGAGAGCTTTGGCAGTTACAAATATTGACAGCGACGTCAGCGACTACAATGATGACATGCAACGAACTACGACGAAAGCGATGTCATACGATAAGAGGCGGTGGACTGTGGCGACAGGCAACAAACGGGGACTTCTGAGATTGAGAGAACTTGGAATGAGAGAGGTGAGATTTTGAGAGAAATTTAAAAGGTAAAATTGAAGGAGATAATTCATAGGGATTAGATGAGAGAGGGAAATGTTGAGATTGAAAGAGAGAAAGGTGAAATTGAAGGAGAGAGGTGAGAGAGGGACATGTTGGTTCACTTTTTATTTCTTGATGTATGAAAGATCATAATTAAACAATATTGTCTGAACACAAAAAATATAATATATAATTTAATAAACAACATTATATGTATTGATTGATGTAAATTTCAAGGAAAGTTTTTTATACAACTTAAATTTATTTCTAAAACATCCGTATAAACTATAAATAATATTTAATATTATAAAAATACATCTAATCAATTGGGTGGGACAAAATTCCAACTTGCAGGTCAGGTTATAGGTTTGATAAGTCAATCAAAGGTTTGAAACCATCGTATTGAATTTTATAAAATAAAAATTGAAACTTCAACCCTTCTATTACTTCATGCTTTTAAATAAAACTACCAAATTTTACCTGCATTCTCGCTAATATACTTTACTTTAAAGGTACAAAGATAAAAAAATATATGGAAAAAAATTGTTTAAATAAATGATATAGACAATTTATTAAGTACAACAACATGTAGGTGAGAATTAGAACACGATTTTATAATTGTAGATACATTCTTAACCAATTGAGTTATATTAAGTTGACTTGGTTCTTTTACTTTTGTTTATAAATCATCAATACTTTATGTACCATAGGCATTTGTTACAGGTCAAAAATGTTCAGCAAGTGATGCTCTCCCCACTTCCTCTCCCCGTCGCCGGAGCCTTTCCGGTAGCTTACCCTTGCCTTCCACAGTAGACTACCCTCGCTCTCCTCATGGCTCACCCTCCCCATCCCCGCCCCACCTCCATCACCATCGAAAGAAAGCGTTTTTCCATCAACACTGATCATAGATATCGAGGAAGTAGAGTCCGCATCATAGAAGCCAACAAAGACCGAGCTTTCTACATCTCCCTCCACTAGTCTTCCATAGCTTGGCTTAAGACTGTCTTCTCTACCCTCATATCTTCCCCTCTTAACCAGAAGTTCTTCAAGGAGACACATATAGACGACCAAACCATTTGGGTTGAAAAGTCGAGTAACAGAAAAGGCTATCTTGCAGAGATTGCTAAACTGGACATAAATGGTGGTCTTACCAAACTTCTGATTCCCATCGGTGAAGACAGGAAGGGATGGAAAGCCTTTTCTAGACTCCTTCATGAACCACCCCCACCAACCCAGCCCTTTAATAACACACCTACCACCTCTGCTCAACCCATCTTACCTATTATTAATGGCCCTTTGACCTACCGGGAAGCGATTTTACAAGGCAAACAGAAACAAAACCCCTTACCTTTTCCACCCACAYCACAGTACAAGAAAAAGAAACAAAAGCTTTCCATCTGTGATGATTATGAAGAAGCAGACCCTCAACTAGACTCCTCCATCATTGTCATCCGAAGATGCTTCCATGATGACTGGTTCAAGATAAATAGAGCTCTCCAAACGCATATCAGTATGCTATGCACCCTCAATCCCTTTGCAGCTGATAAGGCCCTCTTTCGTTGTGAGGATAGAGAACAGGCCCTCACTCTTTGTCACTTAAAGGATTGGTATCAAGTGGGAGATACCCAACTCAAATTCTTGGCATGGAATGATCTTGATCCTTCCTCTCCTTCCCCGGTCCCTTCATATGGAGGATGGATAAAAATCTGCAACCTTCCCCTTAATCTCTGAGACAACACGACATTGCGCCATATTGGGGATTCATGTGGAGGTTACATCGAAACTTCAAAAAAAACTTTGTCAAGACTTGATTTGATGGAGGCTAC